CAATTTAACCTCTGGATTTCTGTATATACCCTGAATTAAGGCAGTTCTGAAGGTGAAAGGTGTCAAACACCGTATTAGTATGGTGTTCCTAATAATCCTTTAGGTGAGTGTATATATATATATATATATATGTGTGTGTGTGTGTGTGTGTGTGATCAATTTATTGTGTCAGTCACATAACACCAATAATATGAAAAATAGTAATCGCGCCAAAATAATGCAACGCTTCTTTGAGTGATAAACAGAAGAACTTTTAGCTATGACACTGCATTTTGTGAATGTCGCTCCATCTGTAATTACGTTGACTGCAGTTCATTGTGTTTCAGTCACACTACGAACCCTTACAAATTCCTGGTCCGACGTTGTCGATTACAGAATGTTTGTGGCTGACTGGAATAGACAGGTGTGTGTAATGTCCAAACATCACAGATGTCATTTCCCCAATAAAAAGGCATGGATTCGTATCTGACCGCTGTAGTGTCATTCTACTCTTCCATTATGGCAATGACAGCTGTCAGTGAATAAGGAGTATACTTCATCAAAATGCTGTACACTTTTCTAAGGCGACCGTTGTCCCTCTTAAGTTATGTGTGTAATGAAGAAACTTCACAACACCCAATGGTCTGCATAGGGTTACAAATACACACGTACACATACAAGGGATAATGATTTATTATTATTATTATTATTGGCTTTTATTATTTTCTTTTTATTTTATTAATGTTTTTATTATTTCTCTTTTATTTATTTTTTTACTATATATGGCGAAGTGTACCATATGGCACAATGACCACAGGGTACACAACATCCTTTACCAAGCAATACACCCTGACTGCATATTCAGAAAGGGCCGGTGTGTTTGCAGGTTTTTTTGGGATAACCGTTCGATCAGTTGCTCAAACCCAGTTGTGCGAACTCTTCAGTCGATCGGTCCTCTACGTTCTACTCTAAGCACGGTGTTGTCTATTAGGTGTCCCTATTGCTCACTACAGACAGTTATCGTACTTATGACCAGAGACCTACACAACAATTACGTTTCAAACTACATTTTCAGACAACTTCACATTATATGTGATTGTAGAGCTAAATTATTCCTTATATATTAGGTATTAAAGATTATTACATTTCTTACTTACACTGTGACTATACCCTTATTAGACTGCATTTTCCACTATCGCTGACATTTTTACCCGGAACTACGCTTCTAACTACCAGTGTTGGGCAAGTTACTCTAAAAATGTAATTAAACTACTGATTACTGATTGATCCCTTTAAAAATAATCAAATTACTAATGTGATTACTTTATTTCAAAAGTAATTAGTTACATTACTAGTTAAATTACTAGTTACTTCCCCACTCTCTAAAGAAACTCTTAAGTCAGCTCAAACACACTTTATTATTAAGTGTTACAAACCTAAGCCTTTTAACTCAAAAACAGTGAAAATTTTTATGAAAT